GTTCATTCGTTGACGTGGTTTACTATCGAATTTTATTCAGCGTTTTCGAAGTAATGTAAAAATTTTATATTTATCATATATCTGAAGAGGGTCTAATACAAAGACCGAAACATGTTATATTTTGCTATGGAATTTATGTAATAGAATGTTTTAATGTAATAGAATTTTGATTAATTTTTAATATTGTGCGTTAATATTGACTCTTACATGCCTTGTTTTATATTTGATTTTTATTATTATTAAGAGTCCTTTACGAATATTATTTATTTAGTTTCCTCTATTTACATAGTTAAACTGCCACTCGACCATTCCATTCGGAGTTACAAAATAATTGCAAAAACTGTTTCTAATATGCGTTACAAACGTAGCACCAGTTTCGTTATTTTCCATGATTTCAACATAGTTTTCAAAGTGTATAATATTACCTTCTTCGGTTCGTAAGAAATTATGTAAACATACAGTGTGTTGCCAAAATATATTTATTAATATTCTCAGGAATCGCAGCGATTGGTCTGTTATAAATAGCCTACTTTTTGTCTAATATTCCAAATGAATTGTCTATTACACGCCGGGCTCGTGAAAGTCTATAATTGAATATATTTTCGTGTTAATCTAGATATCTACCAGAATACGGCCGCATTAAATGCTTTTCAATGGGAAACCCTTCATCTCCAATAAAAAAAATAAGGCACTTGTATATCGGTTCCGCTTCAATAACTGGTTCCGTCTGGAATGTCCAGCATCCCATTCTCCACATTCAAGTCGCTGTTTCCATAAATTCCCGCATCACTGTTCTTCCCCATAGAACCGATATCAACCAAAGTGAATTTGTAGTTGTGATCACAGACAGCCATAAGTACGATACTGTATCGTTTGTGATAATTGAAGTATAGCGTTCCAGAATTCAGAGGACATTGAGCATCGACGTGTTTACCATTAATTGCCCCCAAGCAATGTGGAAAATTCCATAATTTCCAAAAACCCTCAGCAATTTGTAAATATTCTTCTCTTGAAGGAGGTAGATAGGTAGGACCAAGAAGTTTTCCAAATACATCACATGTTTCTTTAATTATTTTATGTACGGTTGATATATCAACACGATAGGCAAAAGCAATTGCTGGGACATTGTCTCCAATCAGAAATCTGTAATAATTATAATATTAATTTTCAAATTGTTTTTACACATACCGCATAAAATAAATACATACATACATACATATATACCATACATACATACATACCATAATGTCAAAGCAACTCGTTGCTCTGATTCAAGTGCTCGTGGACTTTGTTTAATTAAGCTTGGAGTAATAATATCCATCATATGCTAAAATGTTGGCAATGTCACACGTGTATACTTATGGAACATTTGCCGATCTGTTTTTACATCCTGAAAAAGATTGTAGAAAACTGCTTGCTGTCTTATCCTTGTATTAATTTCTCGCACCCAGACACGTCGACGGCGATGACAATTGATTCTGTTTCTACGACGTTGGACCAAAAGTGCTTCCATGTTGACCAGAACAATTAACAATAAATCGAAATCATCCATTTCTGTGAACAGATTAATGTAATTCACTCCAACGCAATTTTTTCAAATTAAAATCACATTTAGAATTGCATGAACTAATTGCAAAACGTTAAAAAGGTTGCCAAACAGCGCAAACGTCAAATATCAAAATGAGTGAAAAATATTCAATAATACATAAAAATAATGAAATATATATTCGAGAAAATTATTCAAGTCAAAAGAAGGTTTCAATAATGAATCTTTACATCTATACACGAAATATAAGTAAAAATTATTAGAAGATGCGTTTATTTTGCAATAAATTACAAATTCAAAAATCTGCGTACAAAATCAAGTTAACCTCAAAATACTATGTTTACGAAACTGATACATTATACAATTTACACGGGTGGCACCCAGTTGGACACGGCTCAATTGGACACGAGCCACTCACAGCGCTTGAGACTACAAAGCTCCTAAGCACCGGTCGCTGTGATTGGTGGTGTCCAATCGAGACATGGTCAATCGGGATCACCACATTTGCACGAGTAATTACACACGGTCATTGTCCGTTTAAATTTTCATTATAATGATCAATAAATAGTGAAAATACTTACGTGTTAATCAATACAAATTCGTTCTTAAATGCGATTCACTTCTTTACGTTAATGGCCTCGGCCCTCGGCTCTGAAAATGAAGCCGTTTGTACCAATTTAACAAAGTTCGGCGCAGCTTTTCATAAATTTTACAGATAATTGTGCAAATACGTGGATAAGTCCTATGCGATTCACTTCGAATCGGTTACAATGGCTGCATTCAGCAAACTCAACAGTTTGATGTATTCTTCTAGATCTAAAATCTGGTTGGACGATCTAAAAGAATACACCAATAACAGCGGGCACTCACTCAACTGTTGAGTTTGCTGAGCGCAGCCAATGAATTATCCTTATGCCTATGGCTATGTATTATGGACTTTTATGTAGATTGGAATTCAGAAACCATACGCATGCGCTATGGCATCTGGATTCTGCTTATGGCTTCTGCAATTTTATGTGCTTCCACCAATGACACTGGCCAGTCACAGTCATTCCATTGTCACGTCCGTAATAGCTTGAAAATTT